GCCAGAAGAAATATCAACAACCTCAGATATGCAGATGACACAACCTTGATGGCAGAAAGTGAGGAGGAATTAAAGAACCTTTTAATGAGGGTGAAAGAGGAGAGCGCAAAATATGGTCTGAAGCTCAACATCAAAAAAACGAAGATCATGGCCACTGGTCTCATCACCTCCTGGCAAATAGAAGGGGAAGAAATGGAGGCAGTGAGAGATTTTACCTTCTTGGGCTCCATGATCACTGCAGATGGTGACAGCAGCCACGAAATTAAAAGACGCCTGCTCCTTGGGAGAAAGGCGATAGCAAACCTAGACAGCATCTTAAAAAGCAGAGACATCACCTTGCCAACAAAGGTCCGTATAGTGAAAGCCATGGTTTTCCCAGTAGTGAAAGCTGGACCATAAAGAAGGCTGATCGCCGAAGAATTGATGCTTTTGAATTATGGTGCTGGAGGAGACTCTTGAGAGTCCCATGGACTGCAAGAAGATCAAACGCATCCATTCTTAAGGAAATTAGCCCTGAGTGCTCACTGGAAGGACAGATCGTGAAGCTGAGGCTCCAATACTTTGGCCACCTCATGAGAAGAGAAGACTCCCTGGAAAAGACCCTGATGTTGGGAAAGATGGAGGGCACAAGGAGAAGGGGACGACAGAGGACGAGATGGTTGGGCAGTGTTCTCGAAGCTACAAACATGAGTCTGACCAAACTGCGGGAAGCAGTGGAAGACAGGAGTGCCTGGTGTGCTCTGGTCCATGGGGTCATGAAGAGTCGGACACGACTAAACGACTAAACAACAACAACTCTTTGGCCTGGTGGAAATGAGAAAATAGAGGCCTAAGCTGATAGAGCGAACTGTGGCACTGCAGGCTGCAAATGGCATGTGTTTATGTTTGTCGCCTTTTGCATATGCTCCTACATACTGTAGAAAGTTCAGTATTAACCAAAAGCTAGCACAGTAGCTTTGTTTGTTTGTTTGTTTGTTAATTCAGTGAAGGTTGTTATAGGAGGGAACATTTTTAAAAATCCCCACCTCTAGCTCAAAAGTGATAGAAAATACTTTATGTAGAACCAAAGAGAGGGTCAGTGATAAATTCCTGTATTATTCTGCCACCACCTCCTCCTACAGGAGTAGTCCAGGCCTTCAGATATAATAAACCTTAGACTTGGCAATCTAACTGGCCTGACTGCAATCTAGTGGCCTGACTTGGTGTAAGGCAGGTTTCTATGTACCTACATCATTCTGCCCGATCAGGGTTTTGTTTTTCCCCCAGCTGAAACTCAGTTCCGGCACCTCTCAAGTGGGCACCATTGCCATTATAAGAGAACAAGGGAAGTGTTCATGGTGAGTTCCAGCACCACTTTTTCTAGAAAAATAGCACCGTACCCGATCATAGATGCTGCAGCCGCAGGACACTGGATTTTAGGATGAAGCAGTGAGGCATGTTTCATCCATGCATTGCAATTACACCCAAGCAAATCCGTAATTGTTCTGAAGTGATTTTGTAAGCCTATCAGAGCTGTATAGCTGTTACTCTGAAGTAAGCCTCATCGCATTTGACCGGTGGTACTGCCCACAAAGGAAGTATGCATAGGATTGCTGCAGGTGTGCCTGTCTGTTACACAAAGTAGTACCCTTCTCAGAATGTGTGTTCTGATGTTCAGCCCAGACACTTGGGGGGGGGGGAACGAAACGCAGGGGTATGCATACCCCTAAACATTTTGTGGATCTTTGTACTTTTGTCCATTTACTGTATTCATTTTTCCCAATTTAAACTATAAAATTGTGATTTTCTTGAGTCAAAGTGAGAGTGCCCCCAAACATTTTTTTTAGAAAAAAAAAGCACTGCATGTATGTATATGATGGTCTTTGCCACTCCTTTGCTTTCGTGAATTAGTGTTTCTGGAGTCACTATGTCGCGCCACCACCACCACAGCCGCCGCCTCAGTTGCCGCCGTCCCTCAGTCCCTCGCTCTGCTGCCTCCTCCCACCCCCAAAGCTTGGAGGTTCCCCGGCAAGGGGGAGGGAAAAAACTTTCACTTTCGTGCGTCCCTCCCGGCGTGACGCTGCGCGCTGACGTCACAGGGCGGGGCTTTAATGGTGGTGTGCCGTGAGATTTTTTTTCAGTAAACAGGTGTGCCGTTGCCCAAAAAAGTTTGGGAAACACTGCACTATGGAACAAGCAAGAAATGCATTATTCTGGGCTACCAAAGGGGGCGATAGAGCACCTTGTAAGGAAGGTGCTGGAAGACTGAACTAAAGTTGTTACAAAGAGAAAATGGTGGTTGTGTGTTTCTGACAGGCGAGATATAAATAAATAAATAACCTCAAGCCATATATATATATATATATACACACACACATCTTGTGTTGCTCCCTGCTGCACAATCTTTATATTTGTAAGTAAAACAGATGATACTACATGAACAAGACAAGTCACCAATACACTTTCCTCAGAGCAAAATGCAAATGCGCCCTGTGATTTCTGACGATCAGGGAGAATGAATCTCTCTCATTCATGCACACACACAGACACACACACACACACAGAGAGAGAGAGAGAGAGAGAGAGAGAGAGAGAGCGCACTATTTTAGGTTATCCACATTTTATCTTCTTTACAGCAGCTCTTCAACTTTTCCAGAAAGTTCCTGCTGTGCACACATTTCTGGCTCAGCAGGGCCAGGCTCATTAGCAGGTTTCTGTTTGCCGAGAAGTGTCATTACCAGGGGCTCAAGCAGCAAGTTCAGCAACAACATGTTGGTTGAAGAGGAGAAAAGGAAAAAGCCACAACACCCTCACTTGGTAGAGGAAGCAAATCCTACTCTTAAGACAGGCAACTTATAAGGCTGCTGTAAGGCCAAACAAATATGCTCAAGGGAGTCACAAGCCCTTAACTGAGAGAAATTATTATTTGTTTGCCTCAACAGTTCCTTAATTATATTCCAGATTTCTAGTTCACTATTTCATATGAAATAGCAAAAAATTGGGTAATAGAACATCTTGTTTTTGTATAATCGTGGTATTTTTGTAGGAAGCTTCAGTGCTTTTTTTCTGGCGGGGATGCAGGGGTACGCATACCCCTAAACATTATGTGAATCTAGGTTTGGCCTCATTGAGGGGCAGTATTTCAATATGAGTAGGAAAATGAGAGTACCCCTAAACATTTTTTGTTTTTAGGGGGGGAAAGCACTGGGAAGCTTTAACCTGATCAAAGGACTAGCCATTTTCAGTGTTAGTGCTGAGGCCTGAAACAGCCAATGGTACTGTAAAGGAGAATGTCATTGTTAATTGGCAGCATGGCTTTCCTTCAGATGAGGAAATCCCTATGGTTTTCCAGAGCTTACTTCCTCTTATTAATGGGCCTCACATGCAGAATAAAAACTTCAACTGCATATTTCTTCCGCTCATAAATAAACAATTCTTGTTTTCCCAAGAGTGTACCCCTATTTTACAATATTGATCCAGTGTCAGAAACACTAGATGAGAGGAACGCAGGTCTGCAAAGATGTCAGTCCAAATGTGCAAATCAGTGCTGGATTGACCTGCACCAAGACACAATGGCTTCCATCTGGTTTAGAGGAGCCCATTCTCCACATCATGTATGATGGGATTGAAAATGCCATTGGCCCGATTGTTCCTCATGATGCCCCCTAAAAAGTCATAGGATATTAACAGCAGTGAGCAGCTATCATCATGGGTGAAACACACTCCCTTCTTTTCTTGCGAAAGAAACATCTGCCAGGCAGTACTCAACAGACACTTTACTTATTTATTTAACTTATTATACCCCCTCATAAAATCACTTGTCTGAGTGTTGTACAAAAAGAAGAGAAAGATACAATAAAATATTTAGAATGATTGGCAGACAGGAGCTCAAAGCACAGCTCCTAGCACAAGAGCTGAGGCAAGCCAATGGCTCTTCGGCGCAGGAAAACATGTACTGAAGGAATGACATTTTAATGAAGGGTAGAGATAGTTGAGGAATTGATCCTTGTAACTTTTGATACAAACTGGGTGGACCATGCTAACATCTGTCATTCAGAATTTAGCCTGCAATCCTAATCCCACCCAGTTACCATGGAAACCCAATAGGACTTACTTCTGAGTAGACATGGTTAGGCTTGCACTGTTAGTTATTCATGCTTTCTGAACGTTTCAAGGTTTGAAGGAAATTGGGATTGTTCAAGATCCTTTGCTTGCAACATTTTTGTTAAGTGGTTTTTTTTAGAACTGGAGCTTTCTCCAAACCAATTCCTTGCTGAAATTCTGCAACAAACTGGAGGGGGGAGAAGAGGCAGCTCATTAGAGACTTGAGAGCTTAAAATGGGAACATTGTGGTTTGGGAATTATTTTAGTGAAGTACCTGGGTCTGTTTGTGGTCACCCTTCAGGAGCAGACAAGAACAGGGTGGTGCAACATTGGGCTTCCATGATTAGCCGGTGGTATAAAACTTCCAGATTGGCCTGGCCTGGTATAAATGCCTTGAGCCTGGCCTTCTTCTCTTGCCTAATTGCAATAGTTTCTGTATGCTTCACTCTAGCTCTCAACTTCCATAGCGGAACCCAGCTAATGCCTAATGTCCTGCTGACTGCTATCATAAAGTCTCCCTATGATTGCATCACAGGTTCCGTTGAAATGTCAACTGCAGCTTAGGTTGTATAGTATGTTGGGTGGTATTCAACCAAATAGTTGTGCTAGTACATGGATATTTGCCACTAGCACAATAGGATTTACCCCTCCTACCCTCCATGTGTGCCACATGCCATCTCCAAATGTTCTCCAGAGGGTTGGTGGAGGCCCTCAAAACAGATTTATGGGCTGCATGGTAGGGGAGATGGGGGAGAATGTTCACTCTTGCATGGACAGAATTTTCTCCTTAGCACTACTCATTCTTTTTCCTGAGTCTATGTGGTTACTCATATAACTTCCAAATAAGAAAATAATCCTGCATCAAAGAATAACAGCCATCTAATTATAGATTCTGTTTTTTTGTTCATCCTTCCTAGAAATTGAAAAGTTCCAGAGTTCTGATGAGAAAAAGGAGGATGAAGAGAAAAAGTACCTCGATGTCATCAGCAACAAAAATATAAAGCTGTCAGAAAGAGTATTGATTCCTGTCAAACAGTATCCAAAGGTATTGTAATACCTATATAATATAAGACAGACTGTGCTATTTTGATAGATGATTGTGGTTATGGTTATAATTAAATGCTGTGCTCAAAGTGCTAACTCAGGGCAGCATAAAAAGAGAATTAAAATGTATTCATTCCTCTTTATTGTTTCTAATAAGTGTTGGATCAATATTTCAGATTGGATTTTGAGGGAATACACATTGTGTTCAGACCAACTCCATTAAATTCAATAGGAGTTTTGACTTTGACTACAACTCAGGGTGGATTGTACCCCTTTACTGTCCTCTCACCCCCCCACCTCTCTATCTCTTGGCTACCTTTACTCATCATGTAAGGAGTTGATGGTGCTGGCATTGGTCCAGACAAAAGGCTATGGCATGGCTAGGTGGAGGGGCTGGCAGGTGAGGCTGTGGCACCGAGGCCCACATGAAAGTGGCCCAGGTTTTACTGGTGGGTCCTGGTTCACTGTTTGAAAAGCACTGGTTGAAAGGGAAATAAGAAACTTACTAGACACTCCTCTGAAAAATCCTCTCATATGATAATTTGGTTTCTTCCCACTTACTTGCCTTGAAGTAAAGACAAATTTACATCTCAAAGGAAGCCAGTATTATTTTGAGCAAATTTGGAAGCAAACCAAAATTCCTCAACACAGATCTGCATAACAAAGATCCAGGCAGGAGGTAGTAATGTGTGTGTGTGTGTGTGTGTGTGTATGATGAAGTAAAGGAATGCTGCTTTCCCCTGTGCGGCCTTGTATTTTACACAAATAGTTGTTGTCCTGGCAGTATTCAAACTGAAATGGTAAACACCCCCATTTATCTCTAGTGCAATTTTTCCTGCTGATTTATTGTCACATGGTATTTGGCCTCACTATTAGCTTTGATTACACTCTCCACTTTTCACTTTATTCTTTCATCAGCAATAGCAATAAATTACAGTGGGTAAAAAAGCATATCGACCCAAATGAGAGGTGTGTATAAAAAGAGAGAGAGAGAAGGAGAGGTGCATTGATTCCAAGATGGCATTTACCTCCTGAATTGTGAATATAAAATTGATGTAAAATAATCATCAAAATGGTAAAAGGCACTAGAAATAGGCATTGCTAGAGGACGGCTTGTTATTGCCTTGTTAGAATGTTGCACTGTTCCTAAATTGGTAATGTTCGATAGCATCACTGCTTCTCTGCCCTGTGCCTGTTTGGGGAATGAAAGGTGCTACTGGCAGCACATCCCATATTTTTCATATAACACCAGTCATGGGACAGTATACAAATATTCTTAATAATAGATTATGATTATGTTTATTAAATTTCTATACTGCCCTTCAACCAAAGAGCACAGGGAGGTTTACAATATAAAAACACAACACATAACAGCAGCAAACAAAAACAATACCCCCCCCACCCACAGTTTAAAAGGCCATAGATTGTTTACCGATAATTAACCAAAGGCCTGGGGGAAGAGGAATGTTTTTGCCTGGCGACTAAAGATACATAACAAAGGTACCAGGTGAGCCTCCCTGGGGAGAGCATTCCACAAGCAGGGAGCCACCGCAGTAAAGGCCTTTTCTCATGTTGGCACCCTACGGACCTCTCATGGAGGAGACATATGAAGAAGGGCCTCAGATGATGAAGGAGCAACGTATCTACAGCAACTTTCTCCTTTTGTGCTATAGAAAGATTTCCTATCCTATTGCCCTTACAACTAGCAAAGCACATGTACATAATTAAATGCAAGGATTTCCGTGTACTCAGTTATCAAAGAAGTGGTGTTCAGTTCAAGTGGCCTGGAAAGTTATGACAGTTAAATCCTAACCATTTCTACTAAGTAGTGAGACCTATTGAATTGAATGTGTCTTAGGAATTAGGATTGTGGCCTAAATTGAGAGTGAAGAGGTGATGTGTTCAGAATCCTGAGACCTCTTACATTCAACTGATATGTGTTTACAGTGGTGCCTCGGGTTACATACGCTTCAGGTTACATACGCTTCAGATTACAGACTCCGCTAACCCAGAAATATTACCTCGGGTTAAGAACTTTGCTTCAGGATGAGAACAGAAATCGTGCTCCGGCGGTGCAGCGGCAGCAGGAGGCCCCATTAACTAAAGTGGTGCTTCAGGTTAAGAACAGTTTCAGGTTAAGAACGGACCTCCGGAACAAATTAAGTACTTAACCCGAGGTACCACTGTATTACATTTTATCTCCTGCTCCTGCGTCTCTTCCATTACAATACTGAAGGCGAAATAATAATCAGAATGTGGTTTTGGGTGGAAGGAGCATCCTCTTTCTCATTTCTAAGCTTGCAAATCTATGTAAAAAATAATCATATCATATATCTGATTTAAAACTCTGGATTTTACTGCCCATGTTCTGTCATTCCAGAGCAGCTCAGCTAGTGATGGTGCTGAACACCCCCCCCCCATCATTTCTTCTCTTTTAGATGTCTCTTCTCTCTAATCCTGACAGGATTTCACAGCACTTGCTTAAATGTGTTTTATTAAAGTATTTTTTCATGAGTAACAAAAGTACATTCAGCATCTCTGTTTTCAAATCATAGAGTCCTTCATGCAAATCAGTTGCATTCAGTTTGAGACATGATTGTTATGGGTAATATGTGGCTGAGGGGGAAAGAGAAGTGGGGGAGGGAGTGGGGAGGAGACAGAAATGGGGGGAGACAATAAACTTTCATTCTCTTTCATAATATATGAGTGGAGCTTTTGAGGCACATTTATCACCCCCTGGAAGTGCATTTGGAATGCTTTGTGAGCTTAGGAGCGTTTTTAAGTGAGTCTTTGTGAAGAGAAAAATAGGCAGTGGTAACATCATAGTTTGGCTTTGGGAGATTGGATGTGCCAAGGAAAGAGAAGTCCTGCTGTCAGAATTTAGTGCAGCTAGCCAGGCTTGCATTGCAAGCTTTCTGTTGTCAACCATTAAATAAGGCCCTCGCTGAATTGTGCAGATGCTACAGTTTGTTTTCATCTGTCCGTCAGCCTTGGCAAGATTCCAGGCAATCAGAAACGAATTAAGAATAATTCTATTAAAATTTTTAAAAGAGAGGAAAGTACTGGTGTTAGCAATCCACCTTTTGAAGTGTTTCTCAAAAGACTGTATGCGTAGGACACTGACAGCTTGCCTCCTTGATCAGCTTGATCAGTCAATGGTGGTCTTTTACCATGGCAGATCATTCTTGTCTCCAGATTAATTTCACTCTACTGTTGCTTTGTTAGGCATTATTAAACTTGGTTGCTATTTTTAGTTGGATAGGGCCATGTTACCCCCTCCGTTCCTCTTTGCTGTGTCATGGATATTACTAAAAACCCACCTGTATATTGCTCCTAAGGGAGGCTCTGCATAGTTGGCAGCAAGGGAACATTTGCTTTCAAAGTTGGGCCTGACACTTTCTTTCCAGTGTATATTTGGCTTCCCTTTCTATTGCATTTTGTAGTACCAAGAATCTGCCACATCCTTTTGCTGCATTGTTTTCCCCTTGCTCAACAAAGATCAGACAAATAAAGAGATAATTTCATTATATACTGTGATTTGAAAGCAACATGGGCAGTTTGTCACAAGCTCTGTAATTATAAACACTGGGTTATTCCAACCTACCATCCCCAATTCTTCAAGGAAAAATGCATTTTCACTGCTCCTTTGTTGCAGGTGGGAAGTTAAGGATGACAAAAAACAAAAACAAAAAAAAATTGTCAAAAGAACTCTTCCAGGTTCCCCACCCCAGACCAAAAATGGGAGAAAATAACCTTGGGGTTTTTTTAGTTATTCCTGGGAGTTCATGAAATGAAGGGGACCCAAAGCCCCTTCCCCATCTTCTTCTATGTCACTCCAAGAGAAACTGCAATGGGCCCTTCTCTGACCTGAATACTTTTCTGATCCACAGAAGGGCATTTGCCTGGGCATTTGAGGCAGTATTTTAAGAACCCTTGGAATTCATATGGAAGCTGGACCCAGATAAACCTAATGTCAGTCCATTGCTTGCACTCTCAATCTATGCTCAGATATGGTAAAATATCCTCAGTATGGCACTAAAACAATCATTAGTCATATATTTCATGTATGCAGTTGCATTCAAGGGTCTCTGTGTTGTGCTGTGCACAATGGATGGGATGAAGCAATCTCTTGTGGTGCTCTTGAAGGAGTAAAATATCCTCAGTATTAATCAGCACTAAATATAATGACTTCAGTTAAAATATTCACACTTAAATCAGTATTGAATCTACTCCTCCAACTCTACTTCAGAGAAGAAGAGGAAAATATTTAAAATGAAGTGACATTTTCTGAGGAATAGGAACTATAAAATGTGAATATGAATATGATTGGGACATGAATTCCAACCTTGAATTTGTTTGGAAGGGAAAAATTAAGACACAAGCTAGACCAGGGTTTCCCAAATTTGTGTCTCCAGCTGTTTTTGTAGTAAAATTCCCATGATCTCTGACCACTGGTCCTGCTAGCTAGGGATGATGGGAGATGTGGTCCAAAAAGAGCTGGAGACCCAAGTTTGGGAAACCCTGACCTAATGAATGCAATATACAGTAACCCTTCTTAGACAACACACGTGAGTGGGGCTGATTCTTCGTGGAAGGAGGTGCAGGAAGTAGTAGAAGAAGGCCCCCTTTTGAGCAACTGACATTCAGTGTGACTTGTCTACCATAGACCTAAGGGGTTGAGGGGAACTTTTTCAGGCTGAGGACTATATTCCCTTCTGGGACCCCATGGCAGTGGTGAGTGAAACCAGAGGCAAAAGTGAGCCAAGTAACAAATGTGAATTTTGCCTTTGTACAGGAAGCTACCACTCTCTTATCTTCCATCCAGGCAAACAGGAGGTATTATCAGAGTTCGGGGACACATTTCCATCCAGGAAAAGACACCTAAGGAAAATTAGAAGCAGGGCCACTAAGGGATATGGCTTTGAGAGAGCACTAATGGAGCCAGAGAGAGCTCTGGAAGGCCACATTTGGCCCCCAGACCAAAGGCTCCCCACCCCTCCT